TGGAAAGTTTGCTGTGTGGTAGGGAGGGTGACATTGCCCCAACTAGTCCTAGTGAAATGATCTGTCCTCACAGCAGCCAAAGGGAACCTGCAAATACCCAAGTCACCCCATTGCTCCTTTGCTCAGAGCCCTCTGTGGCTCCCACTCAGTAAAAGCCTGAGTCTTCCCTCCAGCTCACAAGATCCTGCATGATCTGACCTGTCACTCCCCTTACTTACCACTTGCCCTGCTGCAGTCACATTGGCCTTGCAGCTATTTGAACACACCAGGCCCCTGCCTCAGGGCCTTTGCCCTGACTGTTCCCTCAGCCTGAAGTCAAATGGGTCCTCTCATTCACCCCCTCTTTCAGGTCTTTGTGCAAATCTCACCTCATTGACTCCCCTTTCCTTCTCCCCACCCCCTCCTTTTAATATGGCTACCTCATCGCAGCATTTCCGATGTCCCTTTTCCTGTTCCCCCTTCCCATAGCCCCTAGAAGCTACTATATTAATTTACTTGTTTACCTGAAACAAGTGTCTTTCAATATAATATCAGTTCCTCAAATGCAGGGATGTTTTATTTTTCACCACCACACCCAACTCAGTTCCTGTTTCATACAATAAAAAAGAAATATTTGATTTTGGTCCCTGGTTCCTGGCACACAGCTCCTAAAACCCTTTGAATCTCTGGAATGATAAGTGTCTTTTGTATGCTAATGAGAGGCCTGCTGGCTGGGTGGGAGTCCCTAGGTGGTGTCAGGATAGGGGGCGCTGGTCTCCAGAAACACCAAGCCAAGATTAGAGGGTAAGGAACTATGAGGCCAGTTGCCTGACCTTAAGGGAGGGGAAGGGAGCTGGAGATTGAGATAATCACCAATGGCCAATGGTTTCATCCATCATGCCTAAATAATGAAACTTCCATAAAAAGCCTAAAACACAAGGGGCACCTGGGTTAAGTGTCTGCTTCGGCTCAGGTCATGATCTCAATCAAGGTCTTGGGATCTGCTCAGTGGAGAGTCAGCTTCTCCCTCTGCTCCTCCTCCCCTTGCTCATGCATGCTCTCTCTCACACACACACATACAGACACTCTCAAATAATTAAAATAAATAATACAATCTTTTAAAAATTTTTTTTTAATTTTTTTTTATTTATTTATGATAGTCACAGAGAGAGAGAGAGAGGCAGTGACATAGGCAGAGGGAGAAGCAGGCTCCATGCACCGGGAGCCCGACGTGGGATTCGATCCGGGGTCTCCAGGATCACGCCCTGGGCCAAAGGCAGGCGCCAAACCGCTGCGCCACCCAGGGATCCCAAATAATACAATCTTTAACAAAAAATCTAAGCAACAAGATTCAGAGAGCTTCTGGATTGGAAACACATCAAGGTGCTAGGAGGGTGGCGGCAGGGGAGCACAGGGAAGCTCGGTGCCCCTTTTCCATACCTTGCCCTATGCATCTCTTCCATTTGGCTGTTCCTGACCTCTACCCTTTCATAATTAACTTGTAATAGTACTGAAATGCTTACTGAGCTCTGTGAGATTCTAATTATCAAGCCTGAAAGGGAAGGGGGATTGTGGGAGCCCCCCGATTTTGGAGCCAAGTCAGACAGAAGTAGGGGTCACTTGGAGACTCAATACTTGCAGCTGGCATCTGAAGCGGGGGGCAGTCTCGATAGCCCCAGTTCTCAAGTTCGTGGTGTCTGCCCCAAACCCTGGGTAGTTAATGGGTAGAGAATTGAACTCTAGGATGCCCAGTCGGTACCCGGAGAGAATTGTTTGGTGTGAAATCCCTCCATAACCCACATACATTTGGTGTCAGAAGTGCTGTGAGTAGGGGCACCTGGGTGGCTCAGTCTGTTAAGCACCTGCCTTCAGCTCAGGTCATGATCCTAGGGTCCTGGAATCCAATCCTGCCTCCAGTTCCCTGCTCAGTGCTGGAGTCTGCTACTCCCTCTGTCCCCACCTTGTGCTCTCTCTCTCTCTGTCTCAAATAAATAAATTCTTAGAAAGTGGGGTGGGGGGAGTGTTGTGGGTAAAACAGTTCATTTTTTACTTCGAGCAAGTGCTCCACAGATGTTTGTTGAGAGAATGAATGCTCTGCAGAGCTCAAGTGTGAGCTGGATCCAGGGACCTACACACAGTCCCAGGATCCTCAACCGCTGTCTGAGCCTTCGCTCTGCAGCCTCACTGTCAGGCTGCGAGGTGAGCTTCAAGCCAACCGATCACCTTATCCCAAGCCCTCAAGCCGACTGTCCAGGGACCAGCTTGGGTCCCACGCCCACACCTGAACAGGTCCGACAGATGGAACACGCTGATTGGCTGTCAGAGACCACGAGGCCCCGGGCTTAGGGACAGAAATCTGAGAGGTGGGCTGTCTCCAAAGGAAACCGATGTGTCCTTTCCTGAAGTGGGAGGTGATTGCAGCAATGGCAAATACAACACGTGCTCATTTTAGCTTTCTCAAAATCCGCCCCCCGCCCCCCCCGCCCCCCGCTCCCCAAAGAAAGATGGAAAGATTAGTTAAACCGGCATTTTGCAATCCCCAATGAAAGAACCGATTCAGGTCGCTGGGGTCATTGGATGAAGCCCTTGGTTTATGCTTTCTCAGCAGTGGCCATGGCCAGCCCTTAGAATCATCTGGGGGAATGTCAGAGTCCCCAAACCCAGGCCACAGTCCCGTCCAGTTATATTAGAAGGTGGAAAAAATAAATAAAATAAAATAAAAAATCAGAAGGTGGGAGGGGCACCTGGGGGGCTCCGCGTATGAGCATCCTCCTTTGACTCAGGTGGTGATCCCGGGTTTGTGGGATCCAGTCTTGGATCCGGCTCCTTGCAGGGCGCCAGCTTCTCCCTCTGCCTATGTCTCAGCCTCTGTCTGTGTCTCTCATGGATGAATAAATAAAATCTTTTTTTAAAAAATCAGAAGGTGGGGGGTGGGGTGCAGGCTTGGGTACTGTTGGAAGGTTTTGGGGGCTTCGGATGTGCAACTAGGGCTGAGAACCAGTGACTCACAGGAAATATGGGGGGGGGAGAAGATAAAGGGTTCAGGGTAGAAGCAAGGAGTAAATCCATGCTTTTTTTAAAGATCCCATTTATTTATTTATTTGAGAGAGAGAGAGAGAGCACAAGCAGGGGGAACAGCAGAGAGAGAGAGAGAGGGAGAAGCAGGCCTCCCGCTGAACAGGGAGACTGATGGGGGGCTCCAACCTAGGACCCTGGCTGGGTTCATGACCTGAGCCAAAGGCAGACATTTAACCGGCTGAGCCACCCAGGCGTCCCCACGCTCTTTCTGCAACAAATCAAAGGTTGGTGGGGTTGGAGAAGAAGAGGAAGAACCTGGAGCAGTGATTTTCTGAGCATGTTCTGGCAGCCTGGCCTGAGAAGTTGTTTGGAATTCAGATACGTGGGCCCCACTCCAGAAGCCCTGGGGGTGCCTCCCCCCCCCCCAGCATCTGTGTTAACAGAACATTCAGGGGACTCCAATGCATCCTCTAATTTGAGAACTACTGGATTAGAATGAAAGGGATTTAGGAGACATGACAAGCAAACATGATGTGTGGACCTTATTTGGATGCAATTCAAATAAACCAAATGTGTTAAGTCCTGGGGATGTAACGTACAGCATGGTGGCTATAGTTAATAATACTGTATTGCATATTTGAAAGTTACTAAGAGAGTTGATCTTAAAAGTTCTCACAAGAAAAAAATTGTGTGATGATGTATAGTGATGTTCGTTACTTATTGTGGTAGTCATCGTGCAAAGCAAACTACTATCAAGTCATATGTTGTAGACATGAAACAAATATGTTAGATGTCAATTATATCCCGATTAAAAAAATACAAAGAAATCAGGGCACCTGGGTGGCTCAGTGGTTGAGCGGCTGCCTTCGGCTTAGGGCGTGATCCAAGGATCATGGGATCGAGTCCCACGTCAGGCTACCTGCACGGAGCCTGCTTCTCCCTCTACCTGTGTCTCTCTGCCTCTCTCTCTGTGTGTCTCTCATGAATAAATGAGTAAAACCTTTTTAAAAATACAAATAAATCAATATAAAAAGACATTTTTGAGCCCATCAGAAAAATTTGATGGTGGGCTGGGTTTGGGTGATACCAAGGAATGGTTGCTAATTGTCTTAGGTGTTGTCTTGGTCCATATGGGCTTCTATGAAAGAACACCATAGACTGTGTGGCTTATAAACAATAGACATTTCTTTCTCTTAGTTCTGTAGGCTGGGAAGTTCAAGATCAAGGCACCAGCAGATTCAGTGTCTGTGAACACCAGTTTCCTAGGTCATAGATGGCTGTGTGTGTGTGTGTGTGTTTGAGTGTGTGTGTGTCCTCATTTGGAAGAAGCAAAGGAGCTTTCTGGTGTCTCTTTTAAGATACTAATCCCATTTGTGAGGGCTCAGCCTTTAGGACCTAGTCATCTCCCAGAGGCCCCACCTCCCGATAGCATCACATTGGGGATTGGGTTTCAACATGGGAATTTGGGGGGGACACAAGCATTCAGTCAGGTGTAATTATAGCATTGGGGTTGACTCAGATGAATACATTTTTAGAGATGTGTACTGATGAGGGGGGGAAATGACATTGTTTGGGATTTGTTTCTAAATACTTCATCAATGGGAAAAAGGGATCATGAAACAAACATGTCAGACTCTGGGTGATTGTTGAATCTGGGTGATGGGTATATAGGAGTTTCTTTGGACAAATTCCTTTTTGTATGTGTGTGAACATTTTAGTTTTTTTTTTCCACAAAATAATTTACAAAACAAGACAATTGTGTGAGAAAGGAGGCCATGTCATCCCATTCAGGTACTTAGGGTTAAGATCATGGCCAACTGGCAAAAAGTAAAAGGAAGGAAAAAGGAGTCAGGATAACAGAGCTCTCCCAAATCTTTTATTACCAACCTCCCTTCCAAAATCAGTGAGTGTCACAGAGGAATAATAATGAGACAAAATCTCCAGCAGCCAGGTGGGCCAGATGTCCTGTCTTCCCCCCAACCCCCCACCCCTCCCGGGGTCTGTCAGCCTAGTTTGATGAACAGCAGCAAAGTGGCAAGAATTCCTGGCAGCTGAAATGGGAGAAGAAAGAAATATTGAACCAACCTGAGGGACCTCTGGAACCCAAATCAAATTTGGATACACTGAGAGGGGAAAAGGAACATTTTCTTTCCAGAAAGGTGAAGGGTAGGGTTCTACAGAGAGCCGAAGGTCCCTCATGGTCAGGCTGGAGCCACTTTGGCCCTGTTTCCACAATCGGTCTCAGTCATGAGCAGCAGGTGGAGGCCTATCATGATGCACGTGGGTCTTTTTCCCTTGGTTTCCCACAGATCTTAGATCCATCCTCTCGCTGCTCCCCACCACCACCACACACACCGGGTCCCACAAACTACATTTCCCAGAACCTCCTCCCCTTCCACTTCCTGTTAGGTTTGCCTAATAGGAAACACCTGTAGGAGGTGGGAGGGCTGTTGGAAAAGTCGGAGTATTTCTTCCCCACTGCCTCCTCTCCCTTCCGCCCACCCTGAGTCCTTCAAGACTGCGGCTGTGGGCAGGTGCTCCTCTTCCATGGCTCTTGCTCTTCCCACCCCTTCTGGCCCAGGGGAAGGTACAGCTCCCCATGTTACTAGTGCCTCATCTCTCGTTTTTCTTAACCCTGCCCACACCTTAGCAGCGAAGCCCCTGAAAACCTGGCTGGGATCTGGACTATTATGACCTCCTTGGAGAAGACTATGGTATAGTTTGCATATATTCAATATAAATTTGTACAATGAAAAAAATACCCGTTTTTAAAATACAGATCAGGGACGCCTGGTGGCTCAGTGGTTGAGTGTCTGCCTTCAGCTCAGAGTGTGATCCTGCAGTCCAGGGATCGAGTCCCACATCGGGCTCCCTGAATGGAGCATGCTTCTCCCTCTGCCTGTGTCTCTGTTTCTCCCTCTGTGTCTCTCATGAATAAATAAATACAATCTTTTTTTTAAAAAAAGTAAAATAAATAAAAAATAAAATACAGAACAGTTGGATGAAACTCATCTGTATCTCAGCTGGGCAGTGATCTCCAGAAAAACACTATTGCATCTTGAAAATCAATCTGGTGGGCAGCCCGGGTGGCCCAGCGGTTTATTGGTGCCTTCCATCCAGGGTGTGATCCTGGAGACCTAGGATCGAGTCCCGCATCAGGGTCCCTGCATGGAGCCTGCTTCTCCCTCTGTTTCTCCCTCTGCCTGCCTCTGTGTGTGTGTGTGTGTATGTGTTTCATGAACAAATAAATCTTTAAAATAAATAAATAATGCATGTGTTACTTGTTAAAAAAAAAAAAGAAAATCAATCTGGTGGTGGGGGCACCTCTGTGGCTCAAGTTGGTTGAGCACCTGCCTTGAGCTCAGGTCATGATCCCAGGGTCCTGGCATCTAGCCTTGCATCAGGCTCCCTGCTCAGAGGGAGCCCACTTCTCCTTCTGCCTCTGCTTGTGCTCCCTCTCTCTCTCTCTGTCAAATAAATAAATAAAAATATATAAAAAAAAAAAAAGAAAGAAAATCAGTCTGGGGGAAGCACATGAGAAAAACTTAATGGGGGCTCAGAGGGATGGAGGCTTTTTTTTTTCTTTTTACAAATAACAGCTTTATTGGGGAAATTCGTGTATCATACAATTCGCCTTTCTAAAGTGTACACTGAAGTGGTGTAAACCCTTTATCTTTAATGCAATTACTGAGAAAGTACGATTTATATATGCCATTTTGCTATTTGTTTTCCATTTGTGTTTTGTCCTTGTTCTGTTGGCTCACCTCAACTTTCTTTCATGTTAAATACTTTCTAGTGCAGCATTTTAATTCCCGTGTTTCTTTTACTGTATTTTAAAGTTCTTTTCTTAGTGGTTGCTCATGGGATTACAATTAACATTTTTTTTACAATCTAGTTTAGATTAGTACTAAATGAATTTCAGGAGCATACAAAAACGTTGCTCCTGTATGTCTCTTTTCTCTCCACCCTTTGTGCTATTATTGTCATGTGAATTATATCTTAATATCAGTCTATAAACACAATTTTATAGTTATTGCCTTAGGCAGTTTTCTTTTAAATGAGGTAGAAGAGGGTCACCTGAGTGGCTCGGTTGGTTGAGTGTCTGACTTCATTCAGCTCAGGTCAGGACCCCGAGGTCCTGGGATCAAGCCCCACTCAGGCTCCCTGCTCAGTGGAGAGTCTGCTTCCTTCCCCTTCTCCCTCTGCCCTCCCCCCTACTTGTGCTTTCTCTTTCTCTCTCAAATAAATAAGTAAAATATTAAAAATAAATAAATGAGGTAGGAGAAGAAAAGTTCGATCCTAGGATCGAGCCCTGTGTTGGGCTCTGTACTCAGCCCATAGTCTTGGGGTTCTCCCTCTCCCTCTGCCCTGCCCCCTGCTCATGCTCTCTCTCTCTCTCTCCCTCTCTCTCTCTCAAATTAAAAACAACACACACACACACACATTTATCACAATCATACAATAAATTGTCCATTTGAAAAAATCATGTTTCTTGTCTTTCCCTGCTGATTAGAATGCCCATGAGGGCAGAGATTTTTGTCTGTTGAGTTCATTGTTTTATCCACAGTGCCTACAACAATGCCTGGTCAAAGTAGGTGCGTAATAAGGTTTGTGGAGTGAAGAAGTGAACATTAAAATTTGTCTAACGGCTTTCCATCATATTCGGAATAAAAGTCAAACCCCTCTCTGCAGCCCACAAGGCCTTGTATGATCAACCCCATCAGTTCCTTGCCCTCATCTCCCCCTACCACTCTTCATGCTCACCCTGCTCCAGCCACAAGGACCTCCCTGCTGGTCCGTGAATAAGCCAAGCCTATTGCTACCTCCTAGCCTTTGCACCAGCTGTTCCCTCTGGTTTCTCCTATCTACACACATAATTTTCCCTCATTTCCTCAGGTCACTGGTCAGATGTCACCTCCTCAGGAAAGCCATCCCTGATTCCCTTCCTTATCCTATCATCCTGCTTTACTTCCTTCCCAGAAGGGATCTTTAACTGAACCGATCATCCATCCCCCACCCCCACTTGAACGTCACCTCCACCATAGCAGGGATCTCTGGTGCCCAGAACAGTATTTGACGCAGAGTAGGTGCTCAATAAAAGAGCTCAATGTGTTGCTAAGGGTCTAGGCCTTACCTGTATCACTGCTGTGCCCAGTTGAAGCTCTGAGTCTTGGTTATTTTCAAGAGCTTGGGGAAACAGCCCTGAGGATACAACTATCAAAGCAGGCAGGACCTGGGTAAAGACTTCTGGATTCCAAATTCCCATCAGCCCCACCCATTGGGCCAGTTTTTCTCAGATTCAGAAAGGAGCAGGGGACAAAGCTGTAAGGATACTGAGTCCTTCCCACTTCTCACTTCCCCTAACCCAGCATCTTCCTGGCCTCCTCTTTCCCTCACCTCACCCATAATATACAACTTGCTCCCCAATATCTATCTGTAGTGACCTCCAAGTCTGGTGAATGAGAGTATGATCAGATGTTCCAAGTTATTGCTAGCTGTGTGATCCTGGAGAAGTCACACACCACCCTGTGCCTTGGCTTCCCCAAATGTAAATGGGACCAACTGAATCTGCTGCCCAAGATTATGGCAAGGATTAAGAGAGAAAGATCTACATGAAGTACATAGCAGTGGCCTGACACATAACCAGCATTCAGTAACTATTAGTTCTTTCTGAATGCTCTTTACATATGAACAGAAGGGCTAACATGTATCCAGCACCTTCTCAGCCGTTTACATGTATTTTCTCACTTACTTATCACTATAACTCCAGGAGGTGGGTACTCTTCTTTGCTGTTTTGTAGGTGAAGCAACAGGTTCAGAGAAATTAAGAGACCAGACACGGTGTGTGGGTACAGAGATGGGCCCTCCACTTTCCTTCCTGCAGTTGCAGAGATGCTCCCCTTTCTAGGCCCCTGGCAATTCTTGCTTCTGGAAGCTAGAGTTGCCTTGAGCTTGCTCTTGACAGGGTTCAGTTCCCCTTTACTTATTATGCATTTATTAAGTGTCTCCTGTGAGCTAAATCCTGGGAACCCAGCCACATACAAAACAGACATAATTCCTGTTTTGGTGGTGCTCACATTTGGGTGGTGAACACAGGTAATGAGTACAGCAATAACAGGTGGTGAGTAAGTAAGTGCTGGGAAACTCCCTGGGCCTCAGTCTCCTCACCTATAAAATGGGAGAAAAGCACTCCCCACCTCGGGATGGCATATGATGGGGACTGAATTCACAAAGTGAGTGCCCAGTCCTGTAGCAACTGTCACTATCCTAGAATGATCATCGTTTATCATTATTGCTATATTTTAAGCCCTCTGGGGACACCTGGGTGGCTAAGTGGTTGAGTGTCTGCCGTTGGCTCAGGGTGTGATCCCTGGGTTCCAGGATCGAGTCCCTCATCGGGCTCCTCTCAGGGAGCCTGCTTCTCCTTCTGCCTATGTCTCTGCCTCTCTTTCCAGATCTCTCTCATGAATAAATAAATAAAATCTTTTTTAAAAAATAGCCCTTTGTAAGACAGGCAGTGTAGCCCAGGGAATGGACTCAGACCCAAACCAGCTTCAAATCCAGCTCTATCAAAACCATGTGACCTTGAACTGGCCCCTCCCAACCCTCAGTTTCCCCATGTGAGAAATGAGGATGGTAACCCTAATTCCCCAAGGCTATGAGGTCAAAATGAGCTGAACACCCAATGACAGTTGTTTTCTTTCTCCCTTGACCCCTCTCGCCGGGGTTCCTGCAAATATGCAATTTTTCTAAAAGTCAGCAGCCCTAGGAGGCTACCTAGGTGACGTCCAGCTAAATCTTGAGTTACCCCCCCCAACCCAGGAATTATGTCTGTGGACACGTTGCACCCATCACAGGCCATCGTCCTGATGATTTATGGCAGCTCCTGGGGTGGGAGGGACCAGTTGTCATTTCAAAGGAGGAGCCACAAAAATCCGTGTAGTTTTTTACCCCACAGCACTTTAGCTACAAAGAGGAGAATAATCATTTGAAGTCTCCCTTTCAAATATCAAAATAATGAAAACAATAGAAATCGTGGTCAAAAAAAAAAAAAAAAGAAATCGTGGTCACCATGGCTACTGTGTAGAGCAGTCATGCTATACTGGGGCCTGGCTGAATGCGTTCTTTACTCCAGCCCAGCGTGGCTCAGAACCCTCCATGGCTCTCATCTTACTTGGGGTAAAAGCTGAACACCTCCCCATGGCCCCCAAGGCCCTGCAGGATCTGCCCAGTCACCTCCAGGCCCTCATTCTCACCCCCACTCTCCCTCTTTCTCACTCAGCTCCGGCCACACTGGCCCCCTCATTGGCCCTCAAACACACTTAGCAAGCCCCAGCCACAGGGCCTTTATACAGGCTGTTCCCTCTTTCTAGAATGCTATTGCTTCAAATATCTTTGCGGCTCCCTTCCTCACTTTATTTAGCTATCTACTCAAACATCCCTCTGTGGGAAGGCCTGCCCTAACCCCTCTTACCAGGTTAGCTGCAGCCCCTGTATCAGTCAGGCTGGGTGAAGGGATGCTGCATAACAAATGATCCCAGAAACTCAGCAATTCATTTCTCACACTACCTGCCCCTCACAACTTGGCAGGGGGACTCTGTTTATCAAAATCACTCAAGGACTCTGGCTGATGGAGCAGCCACCATCCAGATAGTTCCACTATTGTGGCAGGAGGAAAGAGTACTCTGGAGGGCCCTAAGCTGGCAGTCAAATAATTTGGCCCAGGGATGCCTGGGTGGCTTAGTGGTTGAACATCTGCCTTTGGCTCAGGGTATGATCCTGGAGTTCCAGGATGGAGTCCCACATCGGGCTCCCTGCATGGAGCCTGCTTCTCCCTCTGCCTGTGGCTCTGCCTCTCTCTCTGTTGCTCATGAATAAATAAATAAAATCTTATAAATAAATAAATAAATAAATAAATAAATAAATAAATAAGCTCATAAGTGACATGCACTTCTGCTCACAGCTCATTGGCCAGAAGTCATCATGTGATCCTCCTCCAACAAAGGGGCAGACCATCCCATTGCGAGGTGCCAATAAGTGACAAATAGCACCGTCAGGTAAACAAACCCTTACTGTCTATGCCCTTACCCTGCCTGTTTCACATCTGACATGCAGGCTTACTAAGTGGTTTCACGTCTATGTCCCCACTTACATGTCAATAACTCATGGCAAGGGTCTTGTTTTGTGCACTGCTGCGTCTGTCCTTGGAGCCCTGGACAGTGGCCGGCACGCAGTAGGTGCTCAATAAAGATAGTGGAAAGGCTGTTTGAATGAATGAGTGATGTTCTTTACCATCTGAAGCCTCAGAAGCCAAAACTAGGATGCGATATTGTGGCACTACCCATCATGTGCCACCTCCCAAGCCTGAATGTGACCCCAGGGAAGGTCCTGGGCTCCAAAACTCAGATGTGAAACACTTCTAGAAACAGACAATGCTTTTTCCTTCCAAACCCTTTCTGACCTCAAGGACCCTTTGAAACTACCTGCCCCAAGAGCTTCTGATGACACATGCAGGCTGGTCCTGATCTTTTTTTTTTTTTTTAATTTTTTTAAAATTTTTATTTATTTATGATAGTCACAGAGAGAGAGAGAGAGAGAGAGAGAGGAGAGGCACAGAGACACAGGCAGAGGGAGAAGCAGGCTCCATGCACCGGGAGCCCGACGTGGGACTCGATCCCAGGTCTCCAGGATCGCGCCCTGGGCCAAAGGCAGGCGCCAAACCGCTGCGCCACCCAGGGATCCCTGGTCCTGATCTTTAAACACCAAGACTCAAGAAGGAAAGGTCACCACCACCCACCCAGGAGGATGGTTATTTAAAAAAAAAGAGAGAGAAGGAGAGAGAGAGTGGTACCTAGGTGGTTCAGTGGCTGAGCATCTGCCTTCAGCTCAGGTCGTGATCTTGGAGTCCTGGGATCGAGTTCTGCTTCAAACTTCCTGCAGGGAGCCTGCCTCTCCTCTGCCTGTGTCTCTGTCTCTCGTGAATAAATAAATAAAATAAAATCTTAAAAAATGAGAGAAAAACAAATGTTGGCAAAGGTGTGGAGAAACTAATACCCTTGTGCCTTGCTGATGAGAATGTAAAATGGTGCAGTTACCGTGGAAAACAGTATGAAAATTCCTCAAAAAATTAAAGTAGGGCAGCCCCAGTGGCCCAGTGGTTTAGTGCCACCTTCAGCCCAGGGCATGATCCTGGAGACCTGGGATCCCATGCCAGGCTCCCTGCATGGAGCCTGCTTCTCCCTCTGCTTGTGTCTCTGCCTCTCTCTCTCTCTCTCTCTCTCTGTGTGTGTGTGTGTGTGTGTGTGTCTCATGAATAAATAAATAAAATCTTTAAAAAATTAAACAGAATTATCAGACGATCCAGCAATCTCATTTCTATATATACACCTAAAAGAAATGAACACAGGGACTTGAAGAGATACACATACACCGTGTTTATGCATCATCATTCACAACAGATGAAAGGTGGAAGTAATCGAAGTGTCCATCGATAGGGGAATGGATAAATAAAGTGTGGTGTATCTGTACAATAGAATAGGATTCAGCCTTAAAAAGGAAGGAAATTCTGACCCATGCTACAACCTGGAGGACATTATGCTCAGTGAACTAAGCCAAACACAAAAGGACAAACACTGTAGGATTCCACTTATATGAAATCCCTAGAGGAGTGACGTCCACAGGGACAGGTAGGAGGATGGCGCGTTTCAGGCGATGGGTGGTGATGAGGGTCACCTAACAATATGAATGTACTTAATGCCACTGAACTGGACTCTTAAAAATGGTTAAGATGATAAGTTTATGTTATGCGTCTTTTGCCACAAAAGAACACATCCGGGATGTGGATCTCACCTTCTCCATGGCTAAGCTCCATTCTGGAATAGTCATCTGGGTCATTGTAACCTCTGTAATTCTTCCTTAGCGTCACGAAGATGTGCTCCAAGGCCACTTCTTGAACCTCAAAGATGACACAGGAAGTGAAAGGCACATAAAACAGCAAGGGGCCCCACTTGGTGAGGTTTCTTGGGGACAGAGCAGGGAGGTCAAGCTTCCTTTCTGTTTTTGTTCCTTGTTTTAAGATGTTATTTATTTATTTGAGAGAGAGAGAGAGAGAGAGAGAGAGAGAGAGAGAGCATGAGTGGAGGGAGGGACAGAAGGAGAGGGAGAAGCAGACCCCCACTTGCTGAGTAGGCAGCCGGTTGCGGGGCTCAATCCCAGGACCCTGAGATCATGACCTGAGCCAAAGTCAGGCACTCAACTTATTGAGCCACCCAGGTGCCCACCCTCCTGCTTTCTTTGGCTTCCTTCACAGTCCACTACCCTCCCTCAGCTACAGGTCTGCACTGGAGGAGGACAAATGCTGGCTGCCATCACCCCCGAGAGAGGGACATGGGGAAGAGCGTGGGTCTCGAGCTGAGTGCATCTGGTTGTACCCATCACAAACTTGAATCATCTGCTCTTTTGAATCGCCCACATGCCTGCTACACCCCCGATTTGGCTGGAACTCGATTAAAGACTTGAATATCATCTTTAGCAACTGAATCAGGCTCAGCACAAAAGGGGCAAATTTAATTTTCTATTTTTTAAATCAAGGTCTAAATTAAAAAAGGGTATTTTTTGCATGAGGTGAAACAGTCACGTGGTTAGAAATTCACAAAGCACAGAAGGGTAGACCATGAAAAGTCTCCCTCCTACCTTTTTCTCCCAGCCAGAAAGGTCCTCCCACTCTGCCACGGTGACTGTTACTGTTTCCTGTGTCCCAAAAGAGATATTTGATGTATGTCAAAGCAAAGCATATTCGCATCATCCTTCTCCTTGCTTTATACTATTCTCATTGTTCTGCATCTGGCTGTTCTTAGCAAGAGTAGCGATTGCTCCTGGGGCTCTGCTCACATCCCGTGAGCGTTTGTCATTTCTGTGCACACTGGCCTGGCTTCCCGCTGCCAGCCACGGAGGGCTCTCTGTGGCATCTCAGCCCACATGTGCCCTGCGAGCAGCCCTCAGGCAATACTGATGGGAGGTAGATCAATATTGCAGCTCCCTCGCCCGCTTCCCCTTGGGAAAATAGACACACATTCGAAACTGCTCCCAAATCTCCCCAAGCAGGACAGAGCCCAGCTGCCTGCAGGGTCACCCGTTATGGGCTGCATTCCTCTCCCTGCCTCGCTTTGCCTCTTGGGATCACCTCTCAAATAAATCATGAGCCTTCAGAGCCTTGTCTCAGGGTCTGCCTCCGGGGGTGCAGGGGACACAACTGAAGAGAACACTGTGTCCTGGAGAATGCACCACCATCTCCTGCATGGGGAGGCTTCTTTTTCCTTCTTTCCACCTGCATTGGACTTTTTTTTTTTTAAGATTTTATTTATTTATTCATAGAGATGCAGAGAGAGAGTAGCAGAGACACAGGCAGAGGGAGAAGCAGGCTCCACGCAGGGAGCCCAACGTGGGACTCCATCCAGGGTCTCCAGGATCACGCCCTGGGCTGCAGGCGGCGCTAAACCGCTGCACCACCGGCGCTGCATGCATTGGACTTTCTTATATGCATTATTTTTTTTAATTTTTTATTTATTTATGATAGTCGCAGAGAGAGAGAGAGAGGCAGAGACACAGGCAGAGGGAGAAGCAGGCTCCATGCACCGGAAGCCCAATGTGGGATTCGATCCCGGGTCTCCAGGATCGCGCCCTGGGCCAAAGGCAGGTGCCAGACCGCTGCACCACCCAGGGATCCCTCTTATATGCATTATTTTAAATTAACCTCCCTCCTACTGATGGCAATCTTTTTTTTTTTTTTTTAGATTTTATTTATTTATTCATGAGGTGCACAGAGAGAGAGGTGGAGACACAGGGAGAGGGAGAAGCAGGCTCCCCACAGGGAGGCCGATATGGGACTCGATCCCAGGACCCCAGGATCATGACCTGAGCTAAAGGCAGACGCTCAACCACTGAGCCACCCAGGCAACCCAGCCGGTCGCAATCTTTTGCACACCCTGGTATATAACTCCTCTTCAGCATCTGAGCAAGCAAATCCTTGGATGATTCCTAGAGATGGGAAATCTGGGTCCAACTATCCGTGCTTTGTCATTTGGATGGATTTTGCAAAATAGCCCTCTGTGTCTAACACATTTCAAAACCTCAACAGCTTTTACAGCTTTTTCCATTACTTCTTAACACCTTACCACCAGAGGCAAGAGAGACGGTGAAGGAAATTACCTCCGCCAGTCTCTTGAGGACTTTGAGGGGATGTCTGAGGTTTTTGGCTCTTCACCCCATTTCTTTTTTTTTTTTAATTTTTTTAAATTTATTTATTTATGATAGTCAGAGAGAGAGAGAGAGAGAGAGAGAGAGAGAGAGGCAGAGACACAGGCAGAGGGAGAAGCAGGCTCCATGCACCGGGAGCCCGATATGGGATTCGATCCTGGGTCTCCAGGATCGCGCCCTGGGCCAAAGGCAGGCGCCAAACCGCTGCGCCACTCAGGGATCCCCTTCACCCTATTTCTGGAGACCCAATCTCCACCCCTGGGGACCCAAAGGCCAGGTAGCACTGTGTGGGTGGCTCCTGGGGGGAGGGGGCAGTGCTTCTACTGATTTGACTGATTTCTAAAGCGGAGTGGGAGAAGCAGCACAGTACTTACAATGCAGAACAAGGCAAGGACCACTTGGCAATCGTGATTTCAACGGTGAGCATGTTAACCGTGAACAGGAAACACTGGAAGACACAGAGGGGCTGGAGGGGGCTGGGAACCTGCTCAGCCGCCTCCCTGCAGGGGTGGGGACTGTACCTCTGTCACCCTCTCCCCAAAGCCATGTGGCCTCTTCAGTTGAAAAGAACTCAGCCCAGGTGGGGGTGGGGCTTATTTCTTTCACATGTTCTCTTCTTGCCTGTCATCCAGGATGCTGGCACAGAGATATTCTTTTTTTTTTTTAAGATTTTATTTATTCATTCATGAGAGACACAGAGAGAGGGGCAGAGATACAGGCAGAGGGAGAGGGAGAAGCAGGCTCCCTGCAGGGAGCCCGATGTGGGACTCTATCCCAGGACCCCAGGATCATGACCTGAGCTAAAGGCAGACGCTCAACCACTGAGCCACCCAGGTGCCCCAGGCACTGAGATATTCTTGGAGCGACTGGCTGGAGCTCCAGTTCATGCCCAGTACTTTCTGGGTGCCAGGGAGACCTACTCCAGGTCACCAAAGGCTGTGTGCCCTGGCAGCAGGCACCTGTGGGGAAAGAGGAGGGATGGTGGTGAGGACAGAACAGAGGCAGGAGGAGGGGAGGAGAAGCAGGATGAGAATCCTTGCAGATGGGAGGAGAGGTGAGGGGGCTGTAGGGAAGATGCAAGGTGACAGGTCATTGGCTACAGGGTTTATGTGTGGTGGTGCTTATGTTTGCTGGCCTATGTTTCAGACAAAGTTCACAAGTCCAATGGAAAACCATGAGAAAGACAGCAAGTAGAGAGAATGTCTTGAAATTTCCCATCAAGGAGAAACTGCTGCTTAGTCTGGGCCTTGGTTTCCCCATCTGTACACTGTGGGCATGGGACCAGCTCAAGGGGCGTCAGTAAGTTCTGTAGAGCTACTGGAGGCCAGATGGGGGCAAAGTAGGTCAGCTCCTGGCTCTCCTTCCGTTTTTTATTATGATTATTAAAATCTGATTGCTCATCGAGACTTGGAGTTGCCAGACCGGCCCATGGCTGGGCTTATCTAGTCTTCATATGGAAAGGTGAGAAAATGCGGTGAACACACTCCCGGGGACCCCAGAGCCCACAAGGACAAATATTGGGACAGGGCTTAGAAGCTGTGGGAGTCCAGACAAATGAGTTATGTAACAGATTGTGAGGATTAATATTAATATGACTACTCTCCCCAGCTCTGGGTGACCGACATGGCTGGAGGACAGATATCCAGGCGTCCATATAGCCTACAGTTTCCATCTTCAGAATCTATGCCTAATCTGCTCATTTCTCCCACAATGTCCACAGCCTCACACAGCACAGCTCAGCACCCACTATCCCCCACCTGGACCAGCACAATCCCTGCACCCTAGTCTCAGTCCCATCTGGTCACTCACACTCTGTTCCCTCAATGGCCACCAGAGGGCGCCCATGAACACCTGAGTCAGGGCACGTCTCTCCTCTGCTCAGACTCCTCCGTGGCTCCCAACACCATAAAAAACGATTTTGCTTTTCTGAGGAGGTCTCAGAGGCTTTGGAGGGACAGATGAGAAGGGTAGAATCAATTGGATTTGCTAATGGGTTGCACGCAGGGTGTGATTGGATTTTCTTTGATTCCTCCAAGCTAAACAATGAATAAAATAGCATCCACATCATATTGAAAATGAAATATTTCAGGTACAGGACCTGTCGAATAAATATTTGTTGAGTGGAGTAATTAAGAAAGAAAAAGATATGATAGAACTTTAGGGAGGAGAAGGGTGGGGGCACAGTGCTTTTAACAATGGAGGTTGTTTAGGGGCACCTGGGTGGCTCAGTCCGTTAAGTCACGATCCAAGGCCCTGGGATCAAGCCCTACATTGGGCTCCCTGTTCAGGGGGGAACCTGTTTCTTCCTCTCCCTCTGTTATTCCCCTCACTTGTGCTCTCTGGCTCTATGTCTCTATCAAATAAAATCTTAAAAACAAACAAACAAACAAAAAACAATGGAGGTGTTTATGCTCTGGGAGAGGACCATACTAAGGATCTCCTGAAACCCCTGAATTGAAATAACCTGAATTTTGTAGCAACATAGTGAAGGAAAACAAAAAATGCTGGAGGCAAATTTTACCAAATCCACTCAGACGAGATTCTAAGGGGAATGGGAGTGGGGAAGCTGGGAACTAGCTTCTGGGGAGTTAACCAAGGTCATATGTGAGAATGAGCAAGATGTGCAAAATCTGCGACATGCTGTCTGCATGATCATGCTCAAAACTTTCATACCTCATGTACTTGAATATGTAATTGTGCGTACATGATGATAACCACAGTGTTGTGTTAGTAGGATCATATACATGGGCTGAAGGAACAGAGCAGTGTGCCCAGAAAAGACCCAACCACAATGGAAATTGCTGTAAGTAGAAGAGGACAGATCCCGGGATCCCTGGGTGGCGCAGCGGTTTGGCGCCTGCCTTTGGCCCAGGGCGCAATCCTGGAGACCCGGGATCGAATCCCACGTCAGGCTCCCGGTGCATGGAGCCTGCTTCTCCCTCTGCCTGTGTCTCTGCCTCTCTCTCTCTCTCTCTCTGTATGACTATCGTAAAAAAAAAAAAAAAAAAAAAGAGGACAGATCCCTACCTCACACCACACACACATAACGAAACTCCCAAAGCCAAAGAGCTAAAAGTGAGACATCAGACTTAAAATTATGGGAAGAAAACCTTGGAGACTATGATTTATGGCCTTGGGTGGGAGAGGAGTTCTTTTTTTTTAATTTTTTTTATTTTTATTTATTTATGATAGTCACACACAGAGAGAGAGAGAGAGAGAGAGAGGCAGAGGGAGAAGCAGGCTCCATGCACCGGGAGCCCGATGTGGGATTCGATCCCGGGTCTCCAGGATCACGCCCTGGGCCAAAGGCAGGCACTAAACCGCGGCGCCACCCAGGGATCCCGGGAGAGGAGTTCTAACTGCGATGTATCGTAAAGGAAAAGATGGGTGCAACTCATGCCATCAAATGAGACACCACAAACACTGAAAAATAAGGGATGGTGATGGCAGGGGTTTGTAATATGTGCAAAGAAGGATTCACATGGTGGAGGGGGTGGTATGTGTGCAGATCCAACTTACATACAAGAGTGCCCTGCTTTCTCTGGTTGCTCCCTACCACCCAGTGAAGCTGAAGCCGAGCAGCACTGTGATGCAGCCTATTGCCAGGCACAGGTAGCCAACATGAACGAGGTATGCAGAGGACAGCCCAAGGACCCTTGTCAGGACAGCTCCTCTGAACTTGACATCGATCCCAGGCCAATGAGGATCACACTAGACATCTTTAGGACAGAAATCAGACAGGAAAAAACAGTCTGTTTGCTGTATACAAATAGAACTTTCCTGGGTGGGGGAGGAGGAGAGACAAAGGCAAATAAAATCAGCAAAAACATCTAAAAATGTTAATACTTGGAGTTAGTGAGGATGTAGGGAGACACTCTCATATATTGTTGCCAGGCAACAAACTTTTTTTGGAGAGGGACGCCTGGGTGGCTCAGTGGTTGAGTGTCTGCCTCTGGCTCAGGGCATGATCCTGGGTCTAGGGACCGAGTCCCATATCAGGCTTCTGTGAGGAGCCCACTTCTCCCTCTGCCTATGTCTCTGCCTCTCTCTGTATGTCTCTCATGAATAAATAAAATCTAAAAAAAAAAAAACTTTTTTGGGGGGAAGGGCATGAGGGAGGATACTTTGCAATTTGTATTTAAAATCTTAAAGGTTTTTACAATAAAACCCTTTACCTAGAAATTCCATTTGTAGATATTCAGTCTGATATCTTTTTTTTTCTTTTTTAAGATTTTATTTATTAGTGTCAGAGTGCTCAGGGATGAAACTATCTGAAGCAATCAGTAATACAGATTGGGTAGGTAAATAATGGGACAGCCATGCAATGGGACTCTAGACAGTTATTTTATTTTATTTTTTTAAGGTTTTATTTATTTATTCATGAGAGACACAGAAAGAGAAAGAGGCAGAGGGAGAAGTAGGCTCCATGCAGGGAGCCCGATGTGGGACTCAATCCCAGGTCTCCAGGTTCATGCCTGGGCTGAAGGCAGGCGCTAAACCGCTGAGCCACCCGGGGCCCTAGACAGTTATTTTAAATGTTGCTCTAGGATAAAGGTTGGCAGTTTTTTGTTGTGTGAAAAGCCCTAGATATTGTGAATTTTGCAGGCCATAAGGCCTCTGTTGAAACAACTTAGCTCTGTCAGTATTGCTCAAAACAGTCATGCTCACTTCATAAACTAATATATTTTATTTACAAATAAGTAATATCTATCATCTATATCTACCTACCTACCTACCTACCTATCTTTCTATTTACAAGGGTGTAGTTGGCTGACCCTTATTGTAGGAGGAGAATGTATATTGATATGGCAGTCATGTTCTTTGGTATTTATACAACTGAGATGAAAACTGATGTTTGCATAAAAACCTGCATGTGGATGTTTCTAGAAGCTTTATTCATAATTGCCAAAGCTTGAAAGCAACCAAGATAGCTTTCAGCAGGTGAATGGACAGGCTGTGGTACATTCAGGGGAATATTAGCACTAAAAGGAAATGAGCCATGAAGCCATGAAAAGACCTGAAGGAAACTTATACTGCTGAGTGAAAGAAGCCAATCTGAAAAGGCTACATGGTGCATGATTCCAAGTATATATCATTCCAGAAGGACCAGAGGTCTCCAGGGGTTAGTGGGGTGGTGGGGAAGACATGTGGAGCGCAGAGGATTTTTAGGGCAGTGAAACTATTCCATATGCACTAAAATGGGAGATACATTTTAGTCAAAAGCCATGGAATGTGCAACACCGAGAGTGAGCCCTGATGTAAGCTATGCATTCTGGGTGATGATAATGTCCACGTAAGTTCATCAATTATAGCAAATATACTATTTTGATTGGGGATGTTGATGATGGGGGAGGCAGGGCATGTGTGAGCAGGGGTATATGTGAAAACTCCGTACCTTCTGCTCAATTTTCTGTGAACCTAGAACTGCTCTAAAAGATGAAGTCTATCCAAAGGGAGGGGAAGATAAAATTTTTAAAAGGGGAAAAGTGGATTGTAAAGCCATAGCCTCCTGTGTTTGTGTCACTGCTTTTAAAAGGCATATAGAAAAATCTAGGAGGATATAATAATGATGATGGTATTTATTGAGCAGTGTTCCCCTGATGGGCATAAGCCCTTTAAATATACTGTATTTTTTATTTTATTTTATTTTATTTTATTTTATTTTATTTTATTTTATTTTATTTAATTTATTCATGAGACACACACACACAGAGAGAGAGAGAGAGAGAGAGAGAGAGAGAGAGAGAGAGAGAGGCAGAGACACAGGCAGAGGGAGAAATAGGCTCCACGCATGGGACTCGATCCCTGGGTGTCCAGGATTACGCCCTAGGCCGAAGGCAGCGCTAAACCACTGAGCCACCGTGGCTGCCCTAAATATACTGTATTATTTAATTCCCATGAAAAGGTACAAGACAGGTAACAAGATGAAGAGTGATATGTAATATCCTTCTTTTTCCTGGCAGCCTTTCCTTAATGCCATTCTGTTATCAGAATAACTGCTTCTCTCTTGTTTTAAGGTATATTTTAGGGGTGCCTAGGTGGCTCAGTCGGTTAAGCATCTGCCTTCAACTCTGGTCATGATCTCAGGGTCCTGGGATCAAGTCCTGCGTGGGGCTCCCCACTCAGCAAGGACTCCGCTTCTCCTTCTCCCCTGCCCCTCCCCCATCCCACTCATGCTCCCCCCGCCATTAAATAAATAAAATCTTGGAAAAAAAGATTTTTTTATTTAGAGAGGGGAAGGGACAGAGGGAGAGGGAGAGAGTCTTATTAAAGATTTATTTATTTATTTGAGAGAGAGAGCGAGCACATATGAGTTGGGGAGGGTCAGAGGGAGAAAGAGAATCCCAAGCCCACTCTGCCCTGAGCCTGTTGCCGAGCTCCATCTCCTGACCCTGAGATCACAACCTGAGCAGAAACCAAGAGTCGCATGCTTAACCGACTTTGCCACCCAGGCACCCCAAAACAATTTTTCTTAACAATGCACATTTTGGGTCACTTCTATAGTAAGAACAGTTTTGGGGTGCCCGGGTAGCTCAGTTAAGCATCTGCCTTCAGCTCGGGTCATGGTCCCAGAGTCTCCAAATCAAGCCCCTCCATTGGGCTTCCTGCTCAGTAAGGGAGTCTGCTTCTCCCTCTGCCCCCATCCTGCTCCTGCTCTCTCTCTGAAACAAATAAAATCTTTAAAAAAGAAAAAGAAAAAAGAAAAAAAAGTGTTTTGAAACATTTAAAGGACCAAACCCATAACCTCTGCCTCTTGTCCTTCCCAAACAATTTAATGTTCTGCAGGATTTGGCTTAGAGTCAAGCTCCTCTACCACCAACCCCCTCCCCCGCCACTCCCCCCTCCCCCATCACTCTCAGCTGTGCTTGATTTTCCCAACTCTGGGTCGATACCCAGTGTGTTCCCAATGTGTCCTGCTCCTCGTCAGTCTGCCCTACATCCCTCCTGCTTCCCTGGGGACCTCCGATCCGGATGCCAGTGAATTTGGATCAGCTTATTTCTGTCTTTGAGAGAGCCGGCTATGGAGGAAGGGCTGCAAAGCCCCAGGGCCTGGGTGGTGACACACTTACAACTATGAAGCCACTGAAGAAAGATAACAGTCTCTTCAGAGAAGAATGCAGAGTGTGCATTTCAGCCATGTCGGCCAGACTGGGGTGTTCCCGACGTTCCTAAACCTTGGGCTACTGTTTCCCCAGATGGTATAGGTCTGGGGTTGGGGGCACCAAGGCCGACTTGCCCCTCTCTCTCCTGGGTGCCTGATTGCTGGGGCCCCAGCAGCTACCCCTCCTCAACATAAGCCTCTATCACATCACAATCCGATGCCCGAGCAATGCTCCCAGTGCCAGGGTAGCAGGTGCCCTGAACTGTCCCTCTGGCTCCCCATCCTCCAAATAGGCTACCCCAGGGATGGAGAAAAGTCATGAAGTGCTGTCCCTGGTACTCCCCAGATGCCATCTAGGCCCACTCTCGTGGTTAATGCCCCCACTAGACCGGGAGCCCCAAGTCGGCAGGGTCCCAGGCTGTCCTAGTCATGGTTGTGTTCACAAAGCCTGGTACATGGTAGGTGCTCAAGAAACCAATATGGAATGAATGGATGAAGAAGCTCCATGAAGCAGGATCTAGCTACAAGCCACCAGGTCCCCCAAGCCTCTGCCTCTGCATGAGCTCACTTGACTCATCCTCAGCTTTCTCACAAGGCTCAGAGGCCCAGGTAACTAACTGCCCAAGGTGACACAGGAAGCGAGGTCCTGGCTGGGCTTTGAAGCTCCAACGGTGACGAACATGGGGACCTCTGACACTCCTCCACCCTCCCAACTGCAGCCCCACTCCCCACTCCTGCCAAAACCTTTCCTTTCTCCTTCTGAGGCCTGCTCAGCCATAGCAGGTGAAGCAATTTTCCTTGAGCTCATGTGTCATTGATCAGTGGGTCTTGATGAGACATGCATAGCAGGCATTTCAGAGCAAAAATTGTGCATGTATTGAGGACCCCCCCCCCTTCTGCAGCCCATAGCGTACACTGTCTCCTTGTTCCCACCCCAATCAGGTCCAGGTCCAAGTCCATGCTACCCCGGCCACATGCTCTCTTTATCCAGCCCTGGGCTACAGTGTGTCTGGGACCAGGTCTTGGATGGCTCCGGGCTCTCAGAATCTTCTGTGCCCCCTCCCCCCTCCCCGGGCTCAGCTCAAAGAGAGGAAAAACTTCACATTTCAATTAATTTAACAAATGTTTGTCCAATCGTCTGCTTCTTGGAATATGTGGAACTAAAAATGTTCAGGTAGGAGTGACGGTCTCCTCCCTGGACAGCTAGGAATGTGTCCTTCCGTGACTTTCTCTAAAAGGTCATTTGAGGGCAGCCTGGGTGGCTCAGCGGCTTAGCGCCGCCTTCAGCCCAGGGCGTGATCCTGGAGACCCGGGGATCCAGTCCCACGTGAAGCTCCTTGTATGGAGCCTGATTCTCCCTCTGCCTCTCTCTCTCTCTCTCTCTCTCTCTCTCTCTCTCTGTCTCTATGAATAAATAAGTAAAATCTTAAAAAAAAAAAAAAAAAAAAGGTCATTTGACGTAAGGAGCCTAAAGACCCAGGGGCTGAGGGCCTGAAAATGGGGACAGACAGGAGGGTGAGAAAATAGGGATGCAAGGGAGCATGAGAAAATGCAGAAATGCAAAGGAGGGCGTGAAAATGTGGGCAAAGGTGGACAGGAAAGTGTTGGCGCGAAGGAGGATGGGAGAGGTGTGGCTCAAAGAGGTTCGGGAAAATGAAGGCCAAGGAAGGGCGGGGAGGCTGGGAGGCCCAGAAGTGGCTGAAAAAGAGCAGCCCAGGTGGGGGCCTGAGGACCCTTTGACTGGGGCGGGAGGGACCTCCTCCAAGCCCCGCCCCCGCGGCAGCCCCGCCCCGCCCGGCTTCACTGCGAGGCCCGGGCTCCCGTGTCGGCCTCTAGCGCCCCCTAGTAGGCCATCAGCGGAAGCGCGGCGCTACGAGGGCCCGACCGGAGTCCCCCAGCCAGCGGCTGCCAGGGCGCCTCGGAGCCCAGACCCGCCGCCCTGCCCCCGTCCGTGGGAGGAGACGGAGTGTGCCTGTGACGCACCCTCCAAGTCCCCCTAAGCCACACCTACTGAGTTGGTGCGAAGAAACAGAATGATGCAGGCATCCAGCGAATCACAAATGTCAGATATTTGGCAAAAAAAACCCAGAAAACTAATGCAATTTATCAGTAATAATTCAGAGGTTCTAGAAAACAGTGAAAAACCTCCCTTGAAGGGAAGCTACAGGGCCATTAGGAAGACATTTAAATATTGTAGAAATAGGGACGCCTGCGTGGCTCAGCGATTGAGCAACGGCCTTCGGCTAAGGGTGTGATCCCCGAGTCCTAGGATCGAGTCCCACATCAGGCTCCTTGCGTGGAGCCTGCTTCTCCCTCTGCCTGTGTCTCTGCCTCTCGATTTCTCTCTCTCTGTCTCTCATGAATAAATGAATAAAGTCTTAAAAAAGATTTTTTTAAATAAATAAATATTGTAGAAATAGAAGAGCTACTCCAGTATTTGCTTAATAGAAGAGCTTAGGGTATGTTAAGATAGTCCTAATTCATTTCTCCCTTGCTTTGTCTCCTTCCTTATACTTTAGGAGATGTTTTTCTTTTTTAAGATTTTATTTATTTATTTGAGAGAGGCAGAGTGAGAGCACAGGCGGGAAGAAGAGGGAAAGGAAGACTCCCCGCTGAGCAGAGAGCACAACCTGGGGCTGGATCCCAGGACCTAGATCATGACCTGAGCCTAAGGCAGATGCTTAAGGGACTGAGCACCCAGGTGCCCCCAGGAGATGTTTTTTAAAAGCACTGTATCCAAGAGAATCAAGTGTCTTAAATACACACATGTTCACACATACACACACAAAATATGTCAATAGCCCATGTTGGCCTATGAGCTATTCTTAAATTCATGCACTTATCATCAACAACACCAAATAAAGGGATCAGGAGATAGGTTCACCCGGTTGATTGTTCGTGTAAAATTTGCAGCATTGGTATATTTGTGCATTTAGTTCCTACAAAACCTGGATCCAGCTCTGAAAGGGGACATTTCATAGTTTAAGTTATTTTAGTAAAAATCATTGGGGGGCAGAGGTGAGAAATCAGAAACTACTTTCCAACCAAAAAGTCTGGAAAGCAGGAAAGAAAGGGGTTGGTTTTTCCAGAGGTCTCTCTCCTTGGCTTGTGGATGGGCATCTTCTCCATGAGTCTTCACATGGTCTTCCCTCTGTGAGGATCTGTCTTTTCATCTTCTTCTTATAGAGACACCAGTCATAATGGATCAGGGCCCATCCACAAGGACATCATTTCACCTTTACGTATCAATATTTGCCCATCAGTTGTAACAAATTGATCCACAGATGCAAGATGTTAATAATTAGGCAAACTGTGAGTGGCAGGGAGAGGAGATATATGGGAATTCTCTGTACTTTACATTCAAATTTTCTTCAAGCCTATGACTTTTAAAAAATAGACCCTATTAATTAAAAAAAAAAAAAAAGACGGGACACCTGGGTGACTCAGTCACTTAAGCATCCTACTTGGGACTTCGGCTCAGGTCATGATCTCAGAATCATGAGATGGAGGGAGTCTTCTTGGGATTCTCTTTCTCCCTCTCCCTCCACCTTTCCCCCTCACTAAAATAAATAAATGAATCTTTTTTTTTTTTTTTTATTTATTTATGATAGTCACACACACACACAGAGAGAGAGAGAGGCAGAGACACAGGCAGAGGGAGAAGCAGGCTCCATGCACCGGGAGCCCGACGTGGGATTCGATCCCGGGTCTCCAGGATCACGCCCTGGGCCAAAGGCAGGCGCCAAACCGCTGCGCCACCCAGGGATCCCCTAAATAAATGAATCTTAAAAAAAAAAAAAAATGAAAGAAAGAAAACACTGGTGGTAGCATCTGTTTTTTGCTCCAAACTCATTTGCACTATTTGACATTTATTTTTGAAGTCTTTTTTAAAATGAGGAAATAAGGGATCCCTGGGTGGCACAGCGGTTTGGCGCCTGCCTTTGGCCCAGGGCGCGATCCTGGAGACCCGGGATCGAATCCCACGTTGGGCTCCCGGTGCATGGAGCCTGCTTCTCCCTCTGCCTGTGTCTCTGCCTCTCTCTCTCTCTCTGTGAGTATCATAAATAAATAAAAATTAAAAAAAAATAAATAAAATGAGGAAATAGAACATAAATGCAGAAAAATCCATAAAACACATATGCCTGTTGAATGTGACAAATGAATCATGACAAAGCAGACAACACTACAAGCACGTTTTGTAACTTTACATTAAAAATATAGTACCTTAGGGGTACTTGTTGGGAAGGCAGTGTGGTATGATCCTTAAGAACATGGAAATCTGGGCAGTCCCAGTGACCCAGTGGTTTAGTGCCGCCTTCAGCCTGGGGTGTGATCCTGGAGACCCGGGATCGAGTCCCGCGTCAGGCTCCCGGCACGGGGCCTGCTTCTCCCTCTGCCTGGCTCTCTCTTTCTCTGTCTGTCATGAATAAATAAATAAAATCTTAAAAAAAAAAAAAAAGAACATGGAAATCTGGGGTGGGGGATGGGGTAACTGGGTGATGTAATGAGCACTGAGTATTATATAAGAATGATGAATCCCTGAACTGTACCTCTGAAACTAATAATACACTATATGTTAATTAATTGAATTTAAATTAAAAACAGAAAATAAGCAAACAAAAACCCTCAAAAAACAAAAGAACATGGAAATCTCTTGTCTGCTATTTATTCACTGGGGGGCCCCAGGTTTTTTTTTTTCCCCAGGTTGTTTTGAGATAAATGAAATAATAAGTCCCCATTTTACAGATGATAAACTGAGGTGTGAAAGTTAAAACACCTGGCCAATGTCACAGATAGAAAGTGGTGAGAATCAGACTTTGATCCCACCATCTCAGTCTTAATCACCACATAGATGTTTTGGTGGTTGCAGGAGAGTCGTTCAGCTCTCTACCTATGAGCGTATACATAGTCTTTCTTATTTCAAAATACAGAATCCAAGGGCATCTGGTGGCTTCATCATTTAAGCGTCTGCCTTCAGCTCAGGTCATGATCTTGGGGTCCTGGATCGAGCCCCGCATTGGGCTCCCTGCTCAGGGG